TTTGCCATCGGGGTTGGGTTTTCGTCGCTTGGCAACGACGTTGTAAAACAAGCCGATCACTTCGTGAGCTCGACAACCAGGTGAAAGCATTTTTTTTTGCATGTGGTCGAGTAGATCGTGTTGTGCGAGGTCAAGAACCCCCACCCCTCTAGTGTAGACAACAGACAAAAGGGGGGCCAACAACACCAAAAACACAGAACATCGTACAGCAGTATACATAACATCGTCTACGACGCGTGTCACATAGCAGGCGCGTACACAGCAGGCGCGTACTCTTAACATCGGGTCGACAGGCAGCAGCAGGACGGACGGACTTGTTGTACAACGCATACCTACGCATACAGACAACAGGAGCCTTCGGTGTGTACTTGAATTCGACAAGTCTGAACAGATAGGCAGCTATCATTACCCTCAAGTCCAAGTCACTGTATCACTGCAGCACAGGGACAAGGACTGCTGCAAGGCACCTACAGTACCATGGCTTCGTGCTCCTTAGACAACAGCATCGACGTACAACAACCCACAGCAACACCACACCCGCCCCTCGTACGAGAACTTCAAGTAACAAACTCACTTGATTACGGTACTTGTTTGCCGCCGTTGAGCCCGATCGTGCTAGCACGTCCTGGGTCTTGACGGCCGCAATGATGTGGGCGTCGTACACGCCACACAAACCCGAATGCTCCGCAGCGGCTACCTTGGGTGCTGCGGCTTTCATGCTAGGCATGGGCTCGGGACCGGTGGAATGATCGCGATACTCTGCTCCGACTCCAGCGGCCACTTCAAAGGCGAACGCACGCGCCACATCGTTGCTGGTGCCATCTTCTGGTGGTGGATTCGCCGCGATCAAGGACACCAGCTGCTCGTGGCAAGCCTTTGGGTTACCCGCCTTGCACCCCTCGATGTCGGGTGTGGGCCAGTCCATAGCTAGGGGCTGTGCCGGTTGTGTGCTATATGTTTGTGGGGAAACAGGAGCTGTAGTGAGCCGGCAGGGCTCACATTTGGGAGGGGACAGAGACGTACAGAAGTACACGTTCTAGCTATGGGTCGACAAGCCTTCTCACTGATCATTTTCATTGATCATTTGTATATACTGAAAATAGAGTTGTTTAGGAAGCTTGACTGGTCATTTCAAGGTGAGCAACCCAACCTACCCTACCGGCCGCGCCACGACCACCCACCGACACTTCTATGACCCTGTCTGCGGCCAACATCCTGACGCGGGCAAACCTAATGGCCTACAGGTGGAGATAGCTGTGGCGTGTGGATAAGTACAACAGAGGCTTTCTCTGCACTTCTCGGTTTCCCCGCCTCGCTCTCACCCCCCTTTTTTTTTTTGGTTCCAGAAAAAAATAAAAATGAATCGAAACGGAACATGGGGATGGCGGACCACGCTTTCGGCCGGCGACTAGCCTAGACCCAAAGGGATTAAGCTATCATGTCGAATATTGTCCCCCGGTGTGATAGTCTCTCTCTGTGTATGTGGGGGGTTCCTCTTGTGGGGGTTATCTCGTGTGGAATACGGTAGGTTTGCATTCCCCCAAAATTGGGGCAGGTTGCTTCCCGTTGCCAATGGGACCTTGACAATCGAAGTTTCAAGTAATCATTTGCACAGAACTAAATACTGCCAACAGCCGCGGCAGCATGGGGACGTGTCGCAAATACCAACGTCCCACCTTCGATGCATGAGCAGGCATACGCAAACGTAAGTAAGGTCTTTTTGGGACCAGACTTGAAAAGGGAGGGGTGAAGTTGTTTTCTCCACTTCATTACCCCCTTGTGTATCTGATCGCAGTAGGCACTTGCCTGCCCAGGCATCAGGCTGCCGCGCTCATCCCTGCCGCGTATATATCGCTTGGAGGGCAGCGCGAGGTACAGCAGCGGAGTTCGGCTGTAGACATCACCACTCTCGCCGATATCAGCACTCAATGTCTCATCATCGGGGCAGTGGTCGGGCAGTGGTCCAATTGAAGTCTCCCACTGCTGTACAACAACATTGCTGCGTAGGTAGCTCTCAGTACTCTGTACTCCACTCCCCCCCTCAAGCTCACATGGACAATACGTTGATGTTGTTGCTGTGTTCTGTTCCGGTCTCTGCTCAGTACCTTCTAGCATCCGTACCGGACCGAATGGCACGGATACGTTCCGTAGTCCAGAGTGCCTTGTGAGAATCAAGGAACTTCGCACTACATTGCACTACCGCTGTGTGTTAAGCTCAATAATTCAATGCAATTCTGCTGTTTGTTGTCGCTGACCTCGATGATGATGCAGTTCGTGTTCTCCTCGCAGCAGAACCACTGCTATTATCGCTCTGAGCCTGTGGTTGCGAGCGGGAAACCACCGCTTCCGTTGTCTGCGATCCCCTGCTTAAGGCCATGGGCTCTGTCCCGTCCTCCGTCCTGTTCGAGGAGCCGAGGGAGTCGTTTATCGTAGATTCATGGGAGTTTCGCCGCATCTCCGAAAACGAGCGTTTGATCTACGAAGATAAAGGATCAAGGCGTACAATCTTTCTTGAACTCCGCTTTCAGTCATGCTCTGAAGTTGTTGTAAGCAAAGCAGAGCGCGCGAGAGAGCGGACACCAGAGAAAAATCTCCCCAACCAACCCACACGAAAAGTGTTCAATCATCAATACAGCAGTAGTGGATGTACTGCTTGCTGTAGAGGATGAACGTGAACATGTGTGCGGTGGCTTTCGTTCACCAGCCGCGCAGCACCTCTCACCCATCACCCCAGCGTGCATGAACTGCCCCGCGCAACGAACTGCACTCAGTACGGTCCAAGTTCGTGGTAATACTCGAGCACAATCCCTGGGCATATATGTCCGACATGCTGTCCTTTGTCCTGGACTCGCCGCTCGATTTTCAACGCGGGTTGAGGCAGTTACGGGTACGTGCTACATGTACGCTCATCATAACGATCCATGACTGGAAAGAAAGAGAGTGGCAAACATCGAAGAACGAAACGCCTTCCCGAGTTCCCGAGACGGCACTCTCAAGGGGGGTGCGTTGAAGTCCTTGCCGTTGCAACTTAGTCCAACAGTTGACGCGGAATCCCCCAGAAGAGTGCAGCTCGCGAGAACTCGCGAGGGGGGCATGATGAGAGAACTATGTCCGAACAGCGATCGATCCGATCACTAACGCATCTTCGTTCTAGCCTTGGTGTCGTGTACGCACCCGCACATGTGCTTCCCGAGTCCCCCCTGACCTGATGTCAAACTCTTACACGTCGAAGCTGCAGCGCGATAACTAGCGAGGTGTTTCCCCTCAGCAGTCCTGCTGCTGCTGTCGAACCTAGCAATTCAGACTTAAAAGAAACATGAGCAACTGCCCTGACAATCACACTCCACGCATCTCTCCCTGACACCTGAACAGACGACCCCCCCCCAGCAGCCCCTCCAATTGGACACCACTTTATTTATTCTTATTTTGCCGTATACTTAAACAACACAACAAAGCTGCATGCAGTAGTACCCGAATTGCCCGCCCCCTTCCCCCCGGTGTTTGCCATCGGGGTTGGGTTTTCGTCGCTTGGCAACGACGTTGTAAAACAAGCCAATTCACTTCGTGAGCTCGGCAACCAGATTACCTTTGTTTTTTTTACCTTTGTTTTTTTTCATCTCTGTTATTTATTTTGGCGATTACCATAATGGTGGTCGAGTAGGTCATGTTGTGTGGGGTCGAGAACCCTCACTCCGCGCAAGGGGGATGATCGCGCCACGTTGTGTTAAAATGGTCAAGCCCCCTCGAGGCTGTTGGATGAAGGCTTACTCATTAGACTACTCAGTCAGGTCGACCTGACTGAGTAGTCTAATGGGTAAGCCTTTGACCACTCAGTCAGCGCTGACTGAGTGGTCAAAGGCTTACCCATTAGACTACTCAGTCAGCGCTGACTGAGTGGTCAAAGGCTTACCCATTAGACTACTCAGTCAGCGCTGACTGAGTGGTCAAAGGCTTACCCATTAGACTACTCAGTCAGGTCGACCTGACTGAGTAGTCTAATGGGTAAGCCTTTGACCACTCAGTCAGCGCTGACTGAGTAGTCTAATGGGTAAGCCTTTACCAATCAGAGGCAGTCACACAGTGCTTACAACTGTCTCAGGAAGTGAAAGCACCAGAAAATAAATTTAAGTCATATTTACGCAGCTGTCATCCGTACGCAAGGAAGTAAGCACAAGATGCCAAACACCCTGGCTTTGTAGGGATGCGAGGTCAATGGTCTAACGACTACGGCATGCACGACCCCCGATTGCCGGACACATAGACGCATTGAGTGAAGAAAGCGGCATACTGAAACCTCACAGGTTGATTTGTATTGGAGATTGCCGGACACATAGACGCGTTGAGTGAGGATAGCTGTATACTGAAAATCCACAGTAGCTTATTATAGTGAGGGGACAAATCGAGAATGCAGTACACATAGACCCGACCCCCAACCAGTACCCGAACCCCCCCTGAAAAATAGAGGCCATGCGTCCCCCCCTCCCCTCTACCTCCCCCCTACCATGAGGAGGGTACAGTCCAGGGTAAGCACAAGCTTACCTTAGGTTAATGCCTATTGGTACGGCATAAAAAAGAGTTCTCAAGTCCCCCATTGGGCGGTGGAGGACTTAGAGCTAAAACACCCCAAAACTCTCCGGCGTGAGTTCCAAAATGGATCGGACGGTGGAGGGGGAGGGGGTGTTCGTCGCTTGAAGTGGACCAAAAAAACATAGAGCCAACAAAGCAAAGCTTATTACTCACGTCGAGCAAGCTGAACGACCGGACCAACCACGCAAAAACTGCGGAGCTAGATGTGCGGCACGCACAATGCATTGTTTTCGATTGGAGAGAGGCGAGTATAAAGCAGTAAGGAATTGTTGGCCAAACTTTCGGCAGATAGGTCTACTCGGGAGCGTAAGTGGGGTAGCAACCCATGGTGGAGCGTACATGAGAAGCTGGACGTTGGTGTACGCCCCATCCCGGCGTGTGAGTAGGATCTTAGGCTATGCAAGTCGTCCCTGAACATATTGTGGTGAAAATGACCGCCTAGGAGGAAAGTAGCCTGTACCGCGGGATTTCGGAGAGATGATAAATTGGGGGCTCGGGGGACATCTGGGTGTATATTAAGCAGAGCGCCCGGCACAAGACTGGGGTACTTGTACCAGGAGGCGTGAACTTGGATCTAGGCTACGAGCCTATGTTGGAGGCGCTATTTAGCGTCGGTGAGCCGGCAAAAGAACTTATCGAGAAGCTGTCGAACTACGTAAGGAAGTTTGGATGGAGGGTTTGCATCGCGAACATGATAGAAACAGAGAAGGTAAGGATACAAGAGGCGAGGACGATGGAGGCAAAGAAGGGACCGAGCGGGGAGGCGAGCAGGCAAGTCAGAAGAACGCCGAGAAGAAGCGGAAGGCGAACGATAGAGTGCGCAAAATCTCCAATAGGGAAAAGCA